AAAAGTCTGAAACTTGCAGTTGCAGCTGTGCCTGTTCACAAAATAGTTTGAAAAGATAAAATGCCAAAGCTGTCATAATAACAAACATTATGCAACTGTCCCACCTGCTCAGAAGAGACAAGCTTACAAATTTGGAAGTGATGACTGGGCTTCTTTATCATAGTGCGTTTAAGGAGCATTGATATGCTTCGAGACTGTCAGAGCTATTGCGATAGTTCTTATATGTTGATTCAGATCTTAGCCAGATTTGATGATTTGTGTCTTTAAACTGCCTAGAATTCATTTGAACACATAACAGCACAAACATTAATTCCATCAAGAACAGTTGCCCCTTTTATTATAATGTGGCAGTGACAAAAGTATACTTATTTTTTTTTTCAAAAGGAAATGAGGGTTTAGACAAACCTAAAGTTCATGACATGATTAAAACAAGGTCATACGAAAATGCATGCTTTAAGGTATAATTAAATATTGAAGACTTTAAGATGGTAATGGTAGTTCTGTGAAATCCTCAATGGCACAATTGTAAATTCTAACTTTTTGACAAGAAAAGTACTGTGAAAAAATGGAGGAAAAAAAAACAGAATCAAACTACAGTCTTTTAAAATCCACAGCAGCCATGACCTTTACTGTGAAAGCTTAACTGCACGTTCCTTATCAATCAAAAGTAAATTAAAAGGAACTAAGAGAAAGCACATACATTAAGCTTTGCAAAATTGTGAAATTAATATTCCAGCTATGTCACCTTCGCCTGCATCGGGATTGAGCAAGGGTGAAAGAGAGAGAGAAATCAATTCTTCGAATTTTGGAGAATGTCAGAGTAAGGAACTGCTGAAAACTTTTATTTCTCCATTATTATTCATCCTGTTTGATGTTCTCATTGGTCTGGGGTGCTGGGCAGAAACTTAGAAAAGGGAGGGAAAAGAGCAAAAGGCCATGAAGAAGTGTTTTGGTGCACACATTGACCAAGCACAGAAGAGCAAAGATGAGATGAAATCAAAAGTGAGGGCATGTTTCAGCTGTCTGGAATGTGTTGTGTGTCTGTAGTAATGGAGACACCAGGGGGTTTCTCTGCAAACCTGGTGATTCCATTCTTCCTAATTATCAAAGGAAGTCTTTTGACTGCTTTATTGAGTTGTCCCTGGTGTTACTAAAGGAGATGAACTGCTGAGATCGTCCCCTGTGCAAGGGCTTAAAATGAAGGAAGCTGGACAAGATTTTCTTAGCTCTTTTTGATTTAGCCTCACTCAAAAAAAAATTAAAAAAGGATATTAATATCAGAAAGATGGTTCTATCCTGCTGTCTCCTCAAAACTGAATTTTAATAAAATCTGCCAGAAATAAAGGAGAGAACCAACCATTTTAGGGGCTAGTTTAGAAAACTTCAGTGCACCTGGGAAGAAATGGCAGCAGGGAACATGATTCTGTAATGTTCCAGGACTGATTTATCACTGAAGTTATATATTTGGGTATTTATTTGGTAGACAAGTGTCACTGTAAAAATGACTCAGAAGGAGCCAAAAGACTTCTCTGTAAAGTGTCTGTGTATTGGTGTATCATGTTTGTGTTTTCTTGGTTCATCATTTGCATCTTCAACAGTCTTGGTATCATGGGGCAGCTTTTTTATCAACAGGTTCCTTAATAAATTTGCCATTTTCCCATTGATTTTTAAAGAGAAACAAGTTTTTTGCCCCCTATCAACAAAACTGAATGATAAGCCAAAATCTGTGGCCACAACCACTGATCTGATTGTTTGTACCAAAGTGAGCGTTAGTAGGCAGAAATTTGTCACATTCACAGCCACCGAAGAATGGGCAAATGTGTCTGTGTTAAATGATGCTGAGAAAAGTAAGTCTGGACTTGAGGTCTCAGCAGAACCCCTTCTTTGTTCACCGAAAGACTCAGCTGACTTAAGACAGATTCTGCCAGAAATCTAGTGTTAGCTGCAAAGCACCTGTGGTCTATTTTGGTAATAATTCTTCTGCTTGAGTGAACTCAAGACAGAGACCCAACTTGATTTAATTTGTTGTTTCAATGAGGCTATTACAGCAAATACCTTGTAGCCAGCTACTGGAACAGAAAGAAAATATTGTTGCCTTTGCGTGCTTGAGAAGATATCATTCTCAAATTGTTTATGGGTGTCATATGATGTAGCTTAACTCCATATTCCATGGAGTCCTGCAACTTAAAAGTTACCATAAAAACTACCATTTAAGCTGATGGCATTAAAATAGCTCAAGCAGAAATATTGGAGTCAGACTCCTCTGATGTGTACTTACCTGTCTGTTGAGTATCTTCTCTCGTGGCATAGACACTCACTGTACATTTGAAACTTGCTGGTGAGTCACTAAAAAGGACCTCTCTTGCCAACTTGAAACATAAACAACAGCTGCCTGTTTCTGTACCCCATTGTACAAAATTGGAAAAGATGAGAATTAATGTCTCAGGTCTGCACAGTCCCTCAACCTAAAAACTAATTAATTAAATAAACCAGAAAATCTGCAGAATAAGTTGTCTCTTTGAGGATGCATGGCCATTGAACTGTAATTTTCCTCTCGTGTATAAAAGATACTACTTGTGGACCATGAAACATACTCTGGATATATTTAAATATTAAACAAGAATAAGGTAGAAATAATAACCCCTTCTTTATTACCTTCATTAAGTAACAATACTATGTAAAATAAAGTCATGTACAGAAAACCTTTGTTAAGGGACATTTCTTTTTTAAAAAAATGAGGTTTTCGTTTTAAAATCTTGGATCATTCCTGAGTTTTAAAAGTAAAATATCAAGTTATTAAGTGATTAATACCTATAACATTGAAATACGTTAGGCAAACAATGGAGCAAAGTATTTAATCATTTTAATGATGAAATAAAATTCGTTGATAGAAAACATTATGTTGCCACTGATCTTAAGGGTATGAATGCTGGCTACTTTTTGCTAGCTATTCTGTAACCATAGTGAACTTCATAAATCTGGAAAAAATCGGGTATTTTTTAGTAACTTTGTTGGCAAAAGTGATCTAACATCAAATTATTGGCATCGCTGGTCTTGATTACTTTGAGGGAAAAAAGTGATTTTTTTTTTAATTGGAAACTCTTTTTAATCCAACCTGTTTTCTTTCATCCTCTGCTTGCCATAACACTTAAAGGAACCTCTAAATCCTCAGAGACACTTTTGCTTAGAGGACTCTGCCATAACACAAACTCTTCTCCAGTCTGTGGTGTTGCACTTGGTGGTTGTAATTTCCCTTGCACAATTCCCAGGATTGTGGTCAGCACAGACTTCTGGCTTATCAGGGATAATGGCTTGGGATTAGGTGGGAATTATCAGTGGCTAGAACTTTGAAAAAACTTAGGGCTCAGTGATTCACCCCACTCATTAATTTTGCCCAGTGTCCTCTGTTGTTTCATCTGTCCAGATCATTTTGTTTCCATGTCTGTGTTGGAAATTGTCATCTGCTCAAGAACCATCAGTGTTAGGCCTTGGTGTTCATTTTGTGAGTATAATTTTCTTTTATCAAAGACATAATCTCTCTCCTCTTTCCTTTCCGCAGTTCCAGATTACCAAGAGCAGGATATCTTCCTCTGGAGAAAAGAGACTGGATTTGGATTTAGGATTCTAGGTGGAAATGAACCAGGGGAACCTGTGAGTCTCTTGTTTGCCTCATCTCCTCCCCCTGCAAGTTTTCCCTCCTGTTTTCTAAGACTTTAAAGCAAATTAGCAGCAGTGACAAATCTCTTGATGTTGAGTCAAGTGCAGTAGTGACTGTTGCATCTCAAGCAAGTGGGAGTTAGCCATTGCATTTCAGGAGATTCCATCAAAGAAAATGAAAATGAAAACAAAATAAGAATATAGAGGTACCAACTGATAAAACAATAGCCTGGCCTTTCTAACCAGTTCTGCTCAGTCTGCTTGCAGGTATTTGAGTTGTTAGTAAGGACATAGAGTGCACTCCACAGAAACTGGAAGGGACTAGAGCAGGTGGGGCCTTGTCTTTACGAAAGTAAAGAAAGAAGCCTGAACAAGGGTCAGAAGACATTTAACCTCCTTCAACCTCAGTTTCCTCGTCTTGAGAGTAAGTTTTAGTATAGACACAAAATGGTTAAGTACCTTGCCTAAGATCACAGCATTAGTAAATGGAGAGACTGGAAGGAGTCTAGTTTCTAGAGCCCATGTTCTTAACCATTCTTTTGTTAATGTTCTTTGAAGTGGTATTATCTGTGAAAAAGCAAGGAAAGCACAGATATTTTAGATAAAATTTAATAAATGGTAAATATAACAGCAAAACCCTAAATATAAAGGCTGCTTAAATGCAGGTGTGAAGAGTATGGAAATGAAGATGTCATAGCAGACACTTCTTGATCCATGTCTTCATATAAAAATATTTCCTGTGCATTTTCTTTTGCCGGGCACAAAGACCTATAAAGAAAGTAGTATTATCACTATTGTAATTAGCAGAGTTTTATAAAAGGCAAATTCTCAGATAGAAAAGGAGAAAGCTTTTAAAAAATAAGAGATTAAAGTGATTTGTTCTGCCGGGGGGGGGGGGAATGAATCATCAGAACACAGGGGAAACGGGAACGAACATCTTGGAACAAACATGAAATAATTACTTTTCCACCACCTAAAAATTGTTCTCTTTTCTGGCACAATGCCTCATACCTAGTGGGTCCTCAATAATGTCTGTGGAATGAATGAATGAATGAATGAATGAATGAATGAATGAATGAATGAATGAATGAATGAATGGATGGATGGATCAATCCATTCTCAGGGATGTGAATGTTGTCAATGTAATAGTAATCAGAAGGTCAGTATTTCATTCATCATCCAATTACTCCACAGATTTATATCGGTCACATTGTACCATTGGGTGCTGCTGATACGGATGGCCGCCTGAGGTCTGGGGATGAATTAATCTGTGTGGATGGGACACCAGTAATTGGAAAATCACACCAGCTTGTGGTCCAGCTTATGCAACAAGCCGCCAAACAAGGCCACGTCAATCTCACAGTGCGGCGTAAAGTGGTGTTTGCCGGTATGTTTTTCATTCATTGCTTCACACAGTGCACTGTCACTTTTGCACAGAAAAGGCCCTTCCCTGTATCTGCCTTCTCAAGCATCTATTTTAACAAATGTTTGCAAATGTGATCAAGCTCAGAATTTCCAGATGGTTTGCTTCTCACATACCCCACAAGACTATACCATCAGTCAAAAATACTTTTGTGTGTCATTTGTGCATGTTCAGCAAAGGCTTCTAGAAAGGGACTGGTTGGAAACATGTTACCTCAACCATCCCCTGGCCAACCAAGAGTTAGTCGAGCTCCTCATTTGATAGTAATTTCAGCAAAAGAGGTTATTATGATCAAGAGAATTATGGTATCAAATAAAAGAACAAAAATTAGGTTTGTGCTGCAAAGAGGCCCATAAACTCTATTGTTGTTGGCCATATGTATTAAACTGGGATTTTTTTTTTTCTTTTTTTTTTGCTCTGTAAGAAAGTTGTCCAGCCGACTCAGTCTAGGTCATCTTTGATTCTTTCCTTTTCCTCGCCAGCTTCAAAGTACTTGAAATCTCAAAATACCACGTATCTTCTTAGGCCCAGAACAAATATAACTTTCTCTGTGAAGCCCTTGGAAATCCCCCCCTTCTTCCAACTGCCTTCAGATTTTAGCATCCCCTCCTTGCCATCTTGTGACTCATGGTTTACTTCCCTCTCAGAATCTGCCATTTTTAGGCAGCTCATGGTGTGAGTATCTGTCCTTTCCAGCTACCAGCTCCCTGAGGCATACATGTGAGTTGTTCATCTTTATCTACAATCCCCACCTCAAGGTATTTAAGACCTAGAGGGCAGGAAAGGCAGATTAAGTGTGTATCCCTTGAACTTCTGAAGAAGTGTGACATGAAATAAGGTTGTCTGTAAATTAATATTAGTGAAACAATGTATTAGATAAAATAAAATGACATTGTTAAAAAACGACTAGTACAGGCCCTCCCTGGTGGCGCAGCCAGTTAAAGCACAGAACTGAGAAGCTAAAGCCACTTCCACATGAGTTCAATCCCCACCCTGGAGGTGACCCACATGGCGCAGCAGATCTCTCCTGACCCGCCCACTATTTCCCTCAGCAGTGTACTTTGTCAGTCTTCCTGTTCTGCTCCCCACTGTCTCTAGTGAATCCTCTCACTGCCCCAGCACCTGGCCTGTACCCCAGTTCTGTATGCATAAATAAATAAATCTTTAAAAAGAAAAAAAAAAGATGCAGTGCAGGTCTTACCTCTGAGGCACAGATGACTGTTATGTGGGCGTGCCCCTACTCCCAGATGTTTTCCTTTGATCTGCGCACCTGCAAATATTCCAGGCGGGCTGATACTGCAAACTTGAATCCAATATGCTGTTATGATACACATTGTGTGTCCTTTTGCTGTTTTTACATTTGATCCAAGCCACTAGATACTGACTAGTAAATATTTATCAAGAATGTTATGTTTTGTTCTGATGTAAAATATTATGTTAGGAGGTGAAAGAGGTCTTTACATTCTTAATTTTTCAAAATTAGCACAGACTATTTTTTTCTAACTCTGGACAATACTCAGCTTCCTTGGGGCTGAGGGATTCATTCAGTCAGAACTCCCATGATGAAGAGAAAGTGTTTTCAGCTCCTGTATTTCTGCCCTGTGAGGCGAGAGGCTGTCTTAACTTCTATACTGTCCTTGATACCCCGCACGCTGTGGAGTGGGGCACGGTGTGAGGTGGCTGGGCATGTGTTTTTACAAGGTTGAGTATCTGAGAGGTGCATCTCTGTGGTGCAGTCCCCAAAACAGACAACGAGATGCCCTCGCCAGCCTCGTCTCATCACAGTAGCAACCAGCCAGCATCGCTGACCGAGGAGAAGCGCACCCCGCAAGGCAGCCAGAACTCCTTAAACACTGTGAGCTCCGGCAGCGGCAGCACCAGTGGCATTGGCAGCGGCGGGGGCGGGGGCAGTGGCGTGGTAAGCACCGTGGTGCAGCCCTACGACGTGGAGATCCGGCGCGGGGAGAATGAGGGCTTCGGCTTCGTCATTGTGTCCTCGGTAAGCCGGCCTGAAGCAGGCACCACTTTCGGTAAGTGTGGACAATTCTTTTCCCGAATGTTTCATAAGATGCCAGGGAACGCTCTGTTGTAAGTGAAAGACGCCAAAATCTCATTAACAGAAATGCTTTCATGCTTTTCACTTCAGGTAATTAAAGTCTTAATTGGGGATGGAGCTTATTTGGTAGATTTCCCTTCCTGCAAATTGGGAATTTTTTTTTTAAGCCTTCAGCTTCCATTCTGAATGTATGTTCAGATTTATACAACTTCAAGTATAGGTGCAATTTGCTGAGCAACTTCTAAACTATGTAGAGTGTGAGAAATCCTTTTGGGACTGTCTTTTGTAAAATCCTAAGTAGGGTATCATTTATACCAGGGGCCTTAGAAAGGCAATTTTTTTTTCAGAGGTTACTTTGGTTGTAAAAATGCCCAGGAAATAATAAAGGTATAAGGAGTAAAAATATTACACGACATGTCCTTTCTACCATATGTGACCTTCCTTAAAACTCTATCCCCATCTGAAAGTTTTCAACTTGAATTTTAAATAGTATTTTTACTATTGCTTGATTAAGAATTTAGTTGAAATCTGAGCTAAGAACCATTTTTTTTCTTCTTTACTCTTGAATTCTAGCAGGGGTGACTTACCAGATGTTGGGGGTTTTGGTAGATTCTGAAGACGAAATGCATTTGTTATCCCTTCAGAAGGTTAACTTTGCATGACAGAGACAAAGATGACTCTAGATGATTCCAGGGACTTAAATTTAGTTCCTAGTCGAATGGATTAAAGCTGTGTACTCCAAAAATGATCCATCGTCCGCACTGATAATCATTTGTTAGTCCCCCAAAACTTTTTTTAATTAGTGTGAAATATGATAAAAACAAGAAAAGGCTAGGCAAGCCTTTGGAATTGTCTGCAACTCTATCCCCAAATGACTTATCCACAAGCTTTCTTCAACTTTCTGATCCATAGAACCTCCTATGCCCACATTTTGTCTCAGTGTAGTACTTCCAATGAAGGTCTTTCCCCCATCAAGATGTGTTCCTTAGGAGATAATGCATCAGTCAGGTCTATGCATGTGTGGCTGCAATAACAAATGTCCATTACTAACATTGCTTTTTATGAGCTACATTAATAAAGTATCACTGTTCATCATGGATGGATGACCTGACATCAAGGAAAGGTTTTTGTTTTAGTTTTGATTTTTAAATTAATTCGAAGACTTTTCTATTTAATTTTAAATAAAAAGATAGGTGGGGTGGGCGCGGGGGAAGAACTATTCAGCATTGCAGTGTGTCCCCCACCCTGTGATGTTTTTAGGGTTTCTGAATTCTCAGTCCCTTTCTAGATGAAACAGTCTGATGGGAGGTTATGTGTTATTTAATGGATATTGGATGTCTTCACTCACTTGATTTTGATTACTTTCCTCTGGCTCTTATATGGACAAATTGAACATTCTCTAATACCTTGCATGAGCTTTCCATTCCAAGCTATGCAGAGCTTTCCTTATACCTGCTGTTTGAAATCTTTCTCATGCGATTTGTTCTTGGAGATGGGCTAAATTTAATCAAGACCTTGAAATTATGTATGGGAAATTTTCACCACACATGCTTGTTGGATTCCAAAGGCTATTTAATTTCTTTTTAAAAATCCTTTTACCTTGGTGTTACATCCAAAGCTACTCAGATATATGCTGAAATTCAGAAAATATGTAGCTCATTTTCTCACACATTTTATCCTTGGGGTTGAAATTACAATGCAAGAGCCTACTCAATTAGGTTCAATGTTTCCTGTGTTGATTTTGTCACCCTGTCCCAAAGGGGACTCAATGACAAACTATCTTACACTTCCCAGAAAGAGTTCTCAGAATAGATGGATCTGCATAAAACTAAGTATATAATAAGCTAAAAACTTTGTTGGGCCTTAAAGCTAATTTTTCCTGTCTCTGTAGAAGTTGGCAATGTACTTGATAGTGATACAGGGTCTCTCAAAGTGCACAGTGAACCTTTCTTTCCAGTTTTCCTGGGTTTTCACATAGTAGATGTATCATAACTTATATTGAAAAAAAAAAAAGAAAGAACTAAAGAAAAGGGGTTAAGGAATGGTCTGAACCCTGCTTTGGATCATTGTCCTGAGTAGGTATTGTATTTTCATAATCCTTTGAGGGGAGGAGGATTTCACAGCTAATGAGCCATTCGGGCCCTGCCCTGAAAACGCATGAGGAAGGCTGATTGAGCATAGGTCATAAAAGGAAAAATAGGTGCTATGGTCAGGAGCTTTTTTGGCTCCTATCTTGTAATTATGTCCTTTTTCTAAAGCTTTCATCATTCTAGATAGAAGGCAGAAAGTCTAAGTGTTTGTCCATTAGGTGTTTTCAGATTGAATTTTTGGTGGTAGCAGACTCTCATGCCTCACCAGACGCCCAGTGATTATTTTTCTAAATGGAGAAAGAACAAAACATTGGCAGAAGCTTAAACAACAGCTGACAAAAACGAGGTGACATGAACACAGAATGTATAAAAGCATCCAGCCCAGTTTTGAGTTTCACATTTGCAGTCCTACTTAAGCAAATGGCGAGTTATTTTGGGGCTCTTAAGTATCTTTGAAGTTGCTAAATATCCAAAATTTTGTAATTGATTTAAGGAGGGAAGCTGCTTGGGCTTCCCCCACGTTTTGAATCAGGAAAGGACCACAGCCGTGAGCTGTATGGCAGGGCACTGGCTTCTCGTACAGATGCCCCTAATATCGCCAATGTTTTCACCATCAGCACAGAGTGCTCCTTTAATAACATTTGCTTAATGCTTTAATTAATTAACACTTAACCTTCTCTTTCCCTTTTCAACCCTTTTTCTCCTCCCTTCACTATGTTCCCACGTAACTTAAAAAAATTAAAACTCACTATCAAAGCAGGCAATGCATGTGTAGCTATGCCTCACAAAATAGGTCGGATTATTGAGGGGAGCCCTGCTGACCGATGTGGCAAGCTGAAAGTAGGAGACCGGATCTTGGCAGTTAATGGATGTTCCATCACCAACAAGTCCCATTCAGACATTGTCAACCTAATCAAGGAAGCAGGAAACACAGTTACCCTCCGCATCATTCCCGGGGATGGTAAAGTATAACTGTTGTGTCTCTCTGTGCCTCTCTCTTACCTTAACTACATCTCTATCTCTCTATCATTAGGGTACCATGTAATGAATAGTGGCAATTTAGAAGCAGCCTTATCCATCTCTAACTGAACATACCCCTCATACAAATTTTGAGCTGCCATGTTACTAACCCTGACGTCACCCTCCTTACTTAACCCCCTAGCCCTGAGGCCCTGTCCTGCTGCAAATATCAAAGTTTCAGAAAATCTGTTTATTTTGGGTTTGCTTTGATCTGGTGTCCTTGCCTTTAAAATGATAGAATAGTTTGAATCTAGGCAGTGAAGATCTCCTGATACTGGATCTGGTGATCACTAATGACTTTTTAAGCAATCACTAAAATTTAATTGTTTAATATAATGACACTACAGCACCTGAATAATCTTGGTGCAAAACCAGTGCTCTTTTTCCAAAATAAGTGCTTGTATCAAAGCTTTTTCTTTAATAGGAGAGTCTTTGCATTTCCTTGTTCCTAATTCTTGCATTTGAATGACGAGATGAAATCTCAGTATTTTTACTGGATTATATCTTTGTTAAACTGTAGGTGTATTCTTGTTTGGTTGGTGAAGTTCAAATCTTTGGTTCTTATACAGCAGTGATGGATTGTACCCCCACCCCCTTTCCCATAAAAAAAAAAAAAAGCTACTTGGCACCAAAAAAACTAATACTAATTTTATTCATATTTAATAAAAGTGAGAGGTTAATAGACTAATATCACTAAGTATGGACTTTTCAGAGCAGTAAGTGCTAAATATTGAATTCATTCTAAGATTTTGCCTGAGGGAGGAAGTGATACTTGTCCCAGTGTGTTTCAGTAGTTTTTTCTTTTTTTTTTTTTCACTCCTTCTATACATGTTATAAAATTAAAAGTGTATTTCTCAAGAGGAAAATGTGGTTTATGCAATAGTGTGATAAAAATTCTGTCATTGATCTGTAAAATGAGAGATGTTATCTGAAATTTAGCAATTTAATATTTTATGTATTATTTAAAAGTGAGCCTTACTAGTTTAAAATTTGGTGGTCTATACTGTACCATTCAGGAAAAGGAAATTTAAAAACAGCAATAAATATTTGAAAATTATGGTTCTCAGAACAAAGAATTTTCGCTGTACCAAAAATATCCCACACCAAATGTGGAGGAAAAAATAACTCCTTGAATAATGCTCTTCTACAGCCTGCCTCCAAATGCATGGTTAGTAATTTACCATCTGGTCTGGAGTCCATTCTACTAGTTCACCACTTTGGAAAGCTATTACAATTTAGGAAAGTAATCACAAGATGCTAGAATATAGGTTCCTAATGGAAAGGATGAAGGAAGCCAGTAAAATTAAGAATTGGTTGAGGAAGCAAATATGTGAGTATAGATATATTTGTATGTTTGCCATGGAGAGCTGTCAAAAATCTAGCCCCAAAAAACTGGACACAGGAATTGACTTCCTGGGTCTTGATTGGTCAGCCTTAATGTGTGGAGAGATTGTCCATAAAAGGCAGAAAGGGGAGCAAGCACTCCTTGAGGGAAAAGCTTATTAGCGTTTAGAATCAGGAAAGTCATGAATATAAAGAAGCAACTTATACAGCTGTGCACTAATTAGGTGTTGGCATAATTAATTGAGAACAATGAAATTATTTGTGAAACTAAACAGTAAAAAATAAAATGCCAGTAGATAATACATGAATATTTGTCAATATTACATATTTTTACCACTTCAGTACTTAAAAAAAAAATTCAGATAGATGTATCTCATTACCTTTGTTAGAAGACAGTAAATGTTAAAATTGATATACTATAGTTAAGGGTTGATATGCTACCGAGCATGTGATTGCATCCCAAGGTATTTCAGGAACTCATTGCCATGATAATAAAACTCTTCATAAATATCACAGTAATCTTCAGAGATCAAGTACAGGAAATCAGCTATGACAGAGGGTGAATTTGTGATGCTCATCTTTCAAATGTAGCTGAAAATTGTCATCTTAGAAATTAGAGTTGAAGTAGCAGAGTTCAGTATCTATAGAGATATTGGGAAAGCCAAGAAAATTTTGCTAATACCTGGCAGACAGGGTGTGGTTATTATAGTTTGATGAAAAGAAAATTATGCTGGGTCCACCTCTTTCTCTATGGAAGCGTACATGGTAGGCTGCGTGGTTGAGAAACGTGCTTTCTATGTTACGGCCCTCTGCTCACCTGCATATCTTCACACTAATGTTGAATTTGTCAACATTTGTCTGTTTTGTGATCCTCATCTGAAGACTTGAGGCTCTTATTCAGAGTGATTTCTAAGCTCTTAGAAATCCATCTGGTCCAAGAGACATTTGTCAGAAGGTCTAGGAGGCACGTTAGGAAGATGCTCTGTCTTTTGGGCAGTGCTTGGAACCCAGTCAGAATCTGCTTCTTTAGCTCATGCTATTGATGCTTTCCTCTCGTCATCAGTGCTTGTTTACACTTAACTTCATCTATAGTTTTCCTCACTCTTTCTTTCCCTGTATTGCTACTGCATCCTCCAACATAAGCACCAAAAATGCCTTCACTTTCTCTGGCATTACAGTGTTAGAAAGTCTGCCTTCACATATCAAGAATAGGCTAACGCAACGGAGTCCTCACAATCTCTGCTTTCTAACTTTTATACTACGGTAGGAGGTAGAATTCGGGGCAGAAACTTTTCTATAGACTCAGAAAATAGCTGATTTTACTGAATCTAAATAAATAATAGCTGATTTTACTGAAGTCTGATAAGTCAGATCACACATGCTTCCTAACACTTGGTTGTATAGAAAAGTCCTGGGAAACCTAGGTGGGAGCGAGACTTTATTCAAACGGGACAGGTTTTGACTAAGCCATTCTAACATGGAACCACCAGTTTGAATCAAATTCAACAGAATGAAAATACTCATAAACTTAGGAATACATGATTTAAATAATGGTTTTAAATTTGTACTTCAGATTAATCTCATTCAAAGTATTTGCTTTTATAGACAGTGACTATGCTATTTCCTTGGCTTTTAAAAGCATAACTATTATAAATTTAAGTCTCTTAACAGAGGACTCGGTGGGTGTCTTATAGCTAATATATACTCAAGCAAAAGGAACAAAATTACAACATACCGATTTTTTAAAATCTCCCAATACTTTTCAAATATTGATGGGTTTAAAAATTTTAAATACTTCCTTCAGACATTTATTACATATGTGTTTACATATTAAAATATTTATAAGAGCAACGATTCTATCTTTTGTCAATTTGCCTGACTTTATAGTGTGGATTCCATAAGGGAGCCTAAGGATATTAACATGAGAGCAAGGTTAGAATTGTAATCACTTGTCACTGAGATGAGCTGAAGCCTAATATAGAAGCTCCTGTCAGTTAGGGCCCTGATGTAAAAGAGCACAGTGACAGATACGAGAGCTAGTATATGCTTTTCTTAATACACAGTTGCTGTGAAAAGTGTAGCAATATCCATTTTCATTCCTCTGGGAGAGCTATAGTAGTTGTAAATGCTGTTTAATAAAGGATGTAGTGTACTTTCAGGACTTATCATAAAAATAGTCAATCTATCCATCTGCCTTGGAGTTCTAAAAGTCAAATAACATTAACACAACTCATAATACTGCTTCTGGAGTGCATGCTTATTTTGGGCCCTTCTTTCAGATATTTTTTTCTATTACATGGGAGGAATTTTGCTTTGGAATAGAGCTATAAATTTGTGATAATGGGTTTCAGCTCTATATTTTAAAAATCCAGAAAGGTTTGCAGTACACATAATCTTGGTTTAGTTCCAAATGAAGACATAAATTTTCATTTGAATATTTTTACTTTATTGATATTTGAAAAAGCATCCTGGAAATCTCGGGTATGCTAAAATTAATTTTAGTGCTCTGAAGATGGCCCATGAAATCTACAAGTCAAAACAGAATATTTTGTATTTTAATTAATCTGTGATACTGCTTAGTGAAGTTAATGGTATTTATGCAGTAAAATAAAAGCACTGCTTATTTGAAAGGATCATACCAATTAGACATGATTTATTAGGTACCAGGACATAATCCCCTTGTAAACAGATTAAAACTAAAACTTAACTCTCAGGCAGACTCTCGGTTTAACTCCAAGTGTGTTCACTTGCTGTCTGCATGACCTTGGACAATTACTTTTTCTAAGCCTTGGTGTCTCCATCAGTAAAAACAACAAAAGGAGAAAAATTCAGTGAACACATAAAGGCAATTGCATATTATGCATTTATCTTTTAGTGTTTAAAGTTAAGGCTTTCACCCAAGGAAATTTGGCATATAAGTATAAATGGGAAAAAGTAGAAAAGGAAGGCTAGGAAGAAACTTGATAATGACATTGCGTTTTTTTTGTGTAGTAATGACTATCCGTTATATTTCCTCAGTTCATGAAAGCAGTAGAAACATTAAAATAGGTCAGAATGTGATCTGATCTGCAGTAAAACTAGCTACTAAAACACCCAAGAACTCTATCAAGAGCTCTAAAGGCACAATTCAGTAATTATAATCACTTTAATTACAAGGAAATGTTCTTTTTGATATTCTGATTTTGATTTCCCCATGGCTTGAACAATCTCATGATTTCCCAGAAAGCCTCCGTAAAATTAATTACTATGAACAATATGACGTTTTTAAGGACCAATACATGTGTTTATAAACTTCTGGCACATCACATTGACAGTCTTATAATACTTGTTACTGACACAGTGAGTATAGTTTATGAAATATCACTTGATTCATCGTGCTGGCTTGCCGGTTAACTGCAATCATAACAATCCCCTAATAATATGCTTTTAATATTATAATAGTAATAAATACAAGCTACTCACAAAAAATAGGCTAATCATTTTTGAACAGTTTTTGTTCCAAGAGCAATTCCAGACACTCATTTCATTGCACCCACATACAGATGAGGAAACCAAGGCATTGAAAGTCTAAGTATCTTTGCTTAAGTCTCAACCAGTAAAGTGCAACACTTGGGTCAATTTTCCAGAATTGAGTCTCAGTCTAGAATCTGACCTCACAACCATTATGATAAATTGCTCCCCCAGTAAGCTTGAAAATAAGCTTGCAAACTTGGACCACAAGACATAGCCACATAACTTAAAAACTCGAAGGGTTCTGCAGGAGAAACAAAACACAGATAAGCAAAAGCTTTTCTTTCTGTTTCACCCTTGATTCCCCACTCTCAGAATCTCTTTAAACATTTGGTAAAATATATTGTGGGAAGCATTGTCCTAAGATGTAAATGGGATTGCACTGTAGTTCACTTGACAGTTACATTTTCTTACACTTCTTACATTTCCTCTTATGCCTCAGCTATAAGAATCATGGGCGTTAGGGCTGGAATACACACTGCTAAAGTCTTGTTTCAGCTTTTTTTCATTTTGTAGCATTTAAATGGTTTATTCAAATTCTTAAAATAACAAATGCAAGTATTAGCAGGACTACAGCTATAATAAATGTGTAGTAAGTGCTTACCAGAGGTCAGACACTATACTAAACATTTCACATACTTCTACAAGAACGGAATTGTTGTCATGTTCTTCTCTCATCAGAAGAGGAAAATGAGGCACACACCTGATGAGCCGTGGGTAAAGGAGATTTGAGTCTGGGTCAGAACCTCAGTGAGCAGAAGCCAGACCCAAACTGAGTACATAACCTTAGAAAAGGAAAATGGAAGGGAGACCACCAGGAGTTGGTTTTATGCATGTCTTGTGTCCCAGAATTGCAGTGGAGAAAGGTGTATTCTGGGTATTCCAGTTTGCATGTATAAAATATTACCCCTTTGAGACTCTGTTATATAAATGGACATAAGTGTATGTGTGCACGCACACATATGCGTTTTTATATTCAATATGTGCATGTGTGTGCACATATATGTATTTACATATTCAATAAGCATGAGAATACCTATCATGAATGTAGTACTTATGGAAACTTCTGGACTTCCAAAGCATACTTTGACTTAAATGAGCATTTACTGGCAAGTCTTAGGTCTGAGCACCCCATTCATCATTTTCTTGAGTAGGACGTTATGCCAAGTTCCAAACAGTCAACCGAATAATAAATGATAAAAGCTCAACTTATTCATAGATGCTTGCTCTCTGTCATAGAGATCTTAATGGCAAAATAATTATTAAAGGAACCCATGGCCATTACTATGTAAATGATTAAACCTTAATATTTGCACATTGGTTTGCAGGCTATAGGCATGCTCATGAATGTTATCAAATTGTGGGTCTCCAAATTTGTAGAGATTAATGAAGTTGTTTAGAAATGTGGTTAGTGGAGAAGAAAGTCAATTTACATAAGAATATAATCATATTCATTACATTAGGGTAACTTCATGAGTTATACAACTTATATTTACAACCTTAGGCTCAGTTAATGCCAGCTTCAAAATTAATTTTTCATGAATGATGCCAGAGATTTCTCAAGAATTATACATGTTCATTTGTGATTCATTAAAAGCAATAGGGAGGGGGTAGATGTTGTATATGTGAGTATATAACAGGATGCTAGCGTACTTCTGATTTTAATGTTCACATGACAAAATCCAGACTCATTAAACATGACCAACAAATTGCAGGAAATGTTAGCACCACCTAGCTCAATGTTGTCTTCTGGGTCCTCATTTCTGTGTGCCCTGTCTTACCCTGCAGAGTCTTCCAATGCCAGTCTGCTGACTAATGCGGAGAAGATCGCTACCATCACCACCACGCACGCGCCCTCTCAGCCAGGGGCCCAGGAGGCCAGGTCAGATGGGGCTGTGATTTCTTTCATTAGTGTAAAGGGGAAAGAGTAACTCCAAGCCTAACAGCTCTCATCCTCGATTCTTTCTGTTTCTCCATGGATTGCCTCTTACGTTTATTCCTCTCACTTTGGCAGGAATACCACCACCAAGACAAAGCCGGAATCTCAGTTTGAGTTCAAAGCACCCCAGGCAACACAGGTGAAGACTGTTTCCCTTTTTTTCCTCTATTCTCTTTGTACATTTTCTTCCAACTTTCTGAAGTCATTTTTATGAGTTAATCTTTCATCAACATGTTACAATTAAAATAAGTTGTGTGTATACATGTACACTCACATTGTATATTTGTCTATGAAATGACATTTTATTTTGCTGTCTTTTAAAAATACTCCTTGATACATTTTTTCTTGGGCGGAAAAAATTTCAAAAGCCGTAACTATCTCAAGTAGTGGCAGTCAAAGAAAGCAAAACAGCTCCTGTCTACTCATGGTTTTCATAAATATATTTATACCAAGAAAATTTTTTTTTAGGGTTTTTCTCAGTCTTTCAATTTTCAAGTTAACCCATTGAGAAAATACCTCTTCTGAAAGGTAGTTATGAAGTGTTTAACAAATAATATTGATGGTAGGTGAAACGATTTGAAAACTACTGGGTGATGTAAAGTTAAATAGGTTTTTTGTTTGTTTTATTTTACTGGCCTTCCTCAGAGCTTTCCAGAATTCATCCATGACTTTCCCCAACCAAAAGAGAATGGCTGCTCAGAGGTGTAAAGGTGTAAGGTCATGATTTGTGACCTTACAATGGAGGCTGGCCACTGCTGGCATTTTTCAGGCATGGGACAGGGAAACTAAATGCCCAGCAGTGATTAGGATGCTATATCATATAAGGTAGAATTATCCTGCTACAACTACGAATGTAGCCTTGCTACATAAATTTTTATATTTGCATGTTGGTGTGTATTCACAGGCATATTTGCAAATGTTTTGAAATTCTGGATCTCCACACTTCTAAGGTTAATAAACAGTTGAGAATCACCAAGAAGAAGGTAGAGACTGCAGTTTTCATCAAAGCAGAGTCTTAAAGAACGGAAAGAGAATGAAATGTGTGTGAATAAAAGTTCCCTTCAATTGATGGTGTTTAATTTCTTTAAATAGGAACAAGATTTTTACACTGTGGAACTAGAAAGAGGGGCCAAGGGATTTGGCTTCAGTCTTCGAGGGGGCCGAGAGTATAACATGGACCTGTATGTTCTGCGCTTAGCAGAGGACGGTCCTGCAGAAAGGTGTGGAAAGATGAGGGTAAGTACAAAGATGAGTTAGGAATGATATAAGTGAATAACCATATAGATACTTATGGCTAGAAGCTTTTGTTCCTGACAATTACATTTCCTATAGCTTTCTGGACACTAAATGCAGGACTCCCACCCTAGGGTAAATTTCCCCCTGAAGCATAATTGTAGCTGCTCAAGTTGGGTGAGCCCTTCTAACTCTGGAATTGAGTCAAGGATTAAAATTACCTATAAACTTAATCAAGTAGAAACTTTCTGAATTCCATTTCCATGGTTCTTTTATTTAATCTCATGAAGCAAACACATCACTTCACAGGAATTCCTGGGTACAAAAGATTCTTAGAGAGCAGGAAAGCCAGGTAGTTGTGCAAAAGCTAGTCGGTGAGCCCCCTTCAGTCTCTAGTTAGTCACCAGCTGTTTTCCTGAAGTCTCAGGAGTGAAGTCACCTCTGAGCAAATGGCAGAAATCCATGCATGGCTATTCAAGGTTGCTCTGTATAATCAGAACCACACGTTTTAAGTACATAAATGCCAAAGGCCCACTTTGCTCTGTTTAGACACCTAATGTCTGTGACTGTGGATGAATATGTCAGAGTAGAAGATTAAAAAAAGAAAAATCATTTGCTCATTACAGATAGCTCACACAGAGACTGAGACATACCCATGGGAACCAATCTGTAGTGAATTGAAGGAAATCAAGAAGTTAGGACAGGAGAGCAAAAATGGGAATGGATTGGCCCTGAGCACATAGTCGGAAAGATTGACCAAGGGTAGTTAAGGCATAATTCTTGCCCGAGAATTAAAAAAAATTGAATTTTTCACACTGAATGTTTTAAACAAGGTTTTGCTTCATTTTCTAAATCAGAAGTAGATTACAAAAATGATTTTAGTTAAATAGTGAAAGTGATGTAAGCATATGGTATTCAGGGTCAAACTACTTACCAGTTTCTTGTATATCCTTAAAACATATGCTTGTGCAATTTGTGCCTACACGGGAGAAGATATACAGTGGTAAATATTTTGTTTAAATTTCAAATATATGCATTATCCTTTCCCTTTTGTCTTCGCACTTTTAAAAGTTTCTTATTGAATGAAATAGCACTTTATGCTGCCTTGCATAATTTTGAGTAGTTCACAAGACACATTCACCCATGTTACCAAGCTTATCCCTTGCATCTTGGTGTAGGCAAAGGAGTTATTATCACCCCTTTCTACAGATTAAAAAGAAACTCCAAGAAGTTAAGAGATTTGAGCAGTTAACTAGCAAGTGATAGGATTCAAATCCAAGTGTGTGCTTTTTCTTTGACCTACAATGCCTGACATGTAGTAAATGCCACAGTCAATAATCAGCCAGATTGTGGTGTCACTTGAACTCACTCACATGGTCATTGGCAGAATTAGTGGATCTTGGGATGTTGGCCTTAGCCCTCCCTTCATTTACTTATCCTGGACTCTGTAGAGACCCTTAGCACCTACATCAAAGCAAACCCCTGAGCTAACAAAAGAAAGCAAGTAAGGCAGAAGCCAAAATCATTTTGTAGCCTTATATTTGAACTGACAGCTCATCACTTTGGCATTTGTATTAGAAGAAATAATTCATTTCAACCCACATTAAATGAAAGGGCACTAGGCACGCTGAGACTGCCAGGAGGTAGAAATCACTGGAGGCCATTCTAGAAGCTGCCTCCACACCCTTCAACAATTACTGTTCCCCCACTGCTGTCTTCTTTTCCTTAGCACTTAGCTAGCATGCTTTTTTCTCATCTTTCTCCATTCAGATGCCTTCCACATGAGGGCAAGGTTTTGTTTTCTTCACTGCTGCATCTTGAATTAAAAGCTTTCTGGAACAAACTCAGTAGATATTTGACAAACCAGCAGGTGAATGTTCTTTGTGACTTTCTCACTTTGCTCTCTCTTGCTTTGGCAGATTGGTGATGAAATTTTAGAGATCAATGGCGAGACCACCAAAAACATGAAGCATTCTCGGGCTATAGAACTGATTAAGAATGGTGGCCGCAGAGTACGTCTGTTTCTGAAGCGGGGAGACGGCTCAGTACCAGAATATGGTGGGTCAAACTATGAAAACATTCCTTCCTTCCCTGGCATGACTCCATGAATTTGTCTCCAGAACTGCAGCAGGAAAGTCTTTTTGTTTCCCCTATTCACCAGTGTCTTACCAGTCTTTCGCACCATGTGATTATTTGCCTCGCTTGTTCTGAAATCTCTACACATTTCATCCTTTTGCTTGCTTACGTGGACTGGGGCACGGCCTAAGACAAGATCTTTGTAGCCCCCTTTCTGATAATCAGAGAGAACATTTTGTCTAGTCCGACCAAGAGCGAAGGAATGTTTGTTTGAACTGTGCCAAACTGTTTCTCAGATCCAATTGTTAGCACAAAATGACTATACTCCTTTTAAGAAGCAGGAAAGCAGGTTTCCTGAGTGATATGTTGAGGCACAATTTTTTTTTCCTTATTTTGGTTTTTTGATGTCTTTATTTAAGAGGCGTGAATTTTTGAGATGATTTGGGGGCCTTGCTCACCGCCTTTCTGCTCTGTATACAACACTTCTGCATTCCCCCACGGGGCCCTCCCCCAAATCAGGCCACCTGAGCCCACGACTAGAAAACAAACAAAACTGTTGATATACTAGCCATATGTTTTTAAATGATAAAGGATGAAATAGATTCCCAGTGCTCATCATGAGGGAAACATGTTACTATACCTTTCCTGTGGGGAAAGCCAGGTTATACATAGAGTTCCTTTGTCATGTCTGTACACTTGCTTTGAGTAAACAGCAATGATCTTTACATAGCTTAGTGTTCTGATGGCAAAATATTGTATATTATAATAATTATGTCCTATTTATTTGAGATTCTTGTTTAAAATTAAAAAAAAAAAAAACTATGCCCTAGATGTAGGGCTTTTTTTCCCAACCAAAGGTCTACAAAAGTTTCTATAGAAACTGTGATTGAATGGTCCCCATATACATTGGTCCCCTTTATTAGGGATTTATCTGTCACCACCCTCTTTTCTGAAAGTCATTGTGCACAATTCACAGTTGCATTTTAGACTTGATGATCCTTAATTCAGATGTGACTCAAAGGAGGAGGATGACTCCCTTGAAGGTCACCCTTCCCAGGTGTTGGACATTCGTACAGGTGCAAATACGAAGGGCCCAAGGCGGGGCGTGGGTGGGGTACAGAAAAGGCCCCTGTAGATATGACCAGCTGCAGGGGAGGAATTCGAACCACACTCAGGTGCCACAGCTGTGCCCTGTACTAAACCTCTAACCTGGGTGTGTGGATGCCACTGAAACTGTGTAACATTGTCTCCCTTTTCTGTCTCCCTATGCTTCTGTTGGATGTGATATTTCCTTTGAGAGTCATCGTCAGTAACCTGTGTACCTTCTCAAAACCTATGTCTGTTGCACTGAGGATGAAAATCCAACACTAACAAATGTTCTTTGGGCTAAAAATAAAGATCATTTAAATACTCGGTTTTCCAAGAAGGGTTGAACGTGCCAGGGTTGTGCTGCTGTAATGTCTCCATGTGTCGTTTGGACTAAATCTCTCTAATTCTATTGATTAGAGTCACAAATGGGTTATAATATGTTAAGTTCCAATATTTTTCTGACTTGACTGGAACCTGCTTCTCTGTGAGGCTATTTTTGTAATGAGTTTTTTGTACTTAATTTAACTGCCGCGGTCTTGGGGAGGGGAAGGGAGGGAAGTTTGTTCTTTTGTTGTTTATTGTTAATGCTCTCCTATGCCAGCCTGTCATTGTTCCAGTTGTTTGAAAAAAAAGAAAAAGAAACAAGAAAACAGGATGCATCCATTGTCTGGGTTCTCAAGTCACCTTAAATGGCTGTCTAAAAATGTCACTGTTCTGATTGCGGTCTCTGCAGCCTTATTTGAGTGTTGCCTTAGACTGTCTGACTGGACAAATAAACTCTCTTTGCCCTATGTTAACAAATGCAGATTTTTTTTTTCTTTCTTCTTTGTTATAGGGAATCTAAATGTTCAACTTTTTCTCTTTCTCTTTCTCTTTCTGACTGTTCTTGGTGCTGGGCCCTCCCTTCTACAGCGATGATACCTCCTAATATCGCTGCATGTATGAGAAATGAAAAGCACGGGGAGGCTTGCTTCTACCTTATGGGCCATAATCAAACTACGGTTTGTAGCTCAATCAATACTAGGTGTTTCTGTGCTGTGGCCTAATTTCCTCATTGCTTCTGCTTAGCTCTATTTTGATATGTTTGGCAATTCATTCTGAGCACCCTGCGTTCTTTGAACTGTAAGTACACCGCTGACCCTGTTGAAGTCTTGCTCCCCCCTTATCTTAAAAAAAGTAGGTGTGAACCAACTCCCTGCCCCCCAGATTAGACTTAATGATAGGTTGAGTACCTTCCTGCATTCAAATCTTAAAATGATAGATTGTAAGCCACGTTTGTGTTCATTCAAGTTGCCTACCCTGCATTTAGAGGCAAGGAACCTCACAAAACTCTCAGCTAAAGCAGATAAGTCTTTGCTAGACAGTCTTATCCTGCTTGCTCAGTGATCTCTGAGTAAGTGCAGCCTGTCAATCAAATCCTGCCCATAGCCTGATTTTGTCAGTAAAATTTTATTGGCACATAGCCACGCCCACTTCTTTTATATGTTCTCTAGGGCTGTGTTTGTACTCCCATGACAGAGTTGACTATCTGTGACAGAGAGTGTGTGGACCACTGTGCAAAAATATATGCCCTTTATAGTGAAAGTTTGCCAACCCCTGCTCTAGGCTAGGCTACTTACTACTTTTGTTAAAATCCACCATAGTTTTTAGAAGATTGTTCATGAAAGAGATTAATAGCATAATCTTGACTTTGTTGCCAAAGTAAGCCCTTAGAGAACACCCTGATTGCTCCCTCTTTCTGTCACCCGGGTTTGCACTTCAGGCTACAGCACCTCATATCAGGTGCTTTGACTGGGATGACACAATGTGTATGACTTTGGTCTAGTAACAAAACACCCCTGCTTTGCAAAGAGCACTATAAATTCAGAATGCTATCTGAAACAACTGCAGCCTCATTTCAAAGAGTTTAATAATGAATAGGGGCCCTCATGGCCTGCCCTGCTTTTAATTCTATAGATATCTTGATGTTGTGAGAAGCAGTCCAGTGACTCCAAAGCTTGTGCATGTAATTATGACTGCTTTGTTCAGCATAAAGAAAGTGCTTTGAACTTAAAAGACTTTATCTGCTCCCCTAGTTACATCAGATGTGTACCTGACAACTTTGCTGTACTCCCTTTTATCTGTCAGATGACTCCACATTTTAAAACCTGAAGCTTACACAAAAATAGAGAAAATCCTTGATTAATATGCACAAGATAGAGGATTGTTTAATGGCCCCTCACAAACATCAAACTTCCCAGTCATCATCTGGCAATGTGCTGCCTCTATAATTCCCTTTGCCCAACACCCCAGATTAGTTTTAAGAACAGAAGTATACCTACATACAGAAAAAATAAAAAAGCTGAAGTAGATCATGCACTGACGTTTTTAAACCTGTGTACTCATCCATTTAATCACCACCCAGATCAAAATATAGTTTCTACTCCCCCAGCAACTCCCTTATCTACCTCCAAGTCAGAAACCCTGATTATTTTTAAGCACATACATTTAAAAAAAATGTCCTTAAAAGAATATTTTCCCCCATGGGATTAGATGGGGGAGAAGGGTTGGCTGTGGGGTGGCTGGGTGGGGTGTTGGGGGAGAAGAGCAACAGATAAGGTGGGGGAGGTTTTGAGAAGTCTAGACAAGACTATTTGGGTCGTGCCTTTAAAGATTAAAGCCATGACTGATTTTATGAGTTCCTTCATGATCACTATATTGAATACAGCAAACAATAGGCTAGATGCTGAAAGCCACAAGTGCTAGTTTTTAACCCTATCTAGTTGCAGTTAAATTAACAAAGATTTATTCAGTTGGCTTTGATTCTGACTGCTTTAACAGTTGTTTGTTGTCACTAATGAGATCTCAAGTGTGGGAGTGGGGACAGGAGCTGAAGATCCCTCTACCAAACTGTTGCTCTCATTTATCTCCCTGGCAGACCCCAGCAGCGACCGGAACGGCCCCCCCACCGGTCCACAAGGTGTTCCGGAAATGAGGGCAGGGCCAACTGACCGCCGCCAGCATCCGTCATTGGAGTCCAGTTATCCACCAGATCTTCACAAATCATCACCACACGGGGAAAAGCGGGCACACGTGAAAGATCCAAAAGGCAGCAGAGAGCATAGCAGACAACCCAATGAACATCATACATGGAACGGAACTTCTAGAAAACCCGACACTGGGGCATGCCGACCCAAGGACCGGGCATCTGAGGGGCGGAGAGAAGCACAGCCTGAGCGGATGGCGACCAATGGTCCCAAGAGGAGATCTCCAGAGAAGCGGAGGGAAGGCACTCGGAGTGCTGATAACACTTTGGAAAGAAGGGAGAAGCACGAGAAGAGAAGGGAGATTTCTCCAGAGAGGAGGCGAGAGCGGTCACCCACCCGCAGAAGAGACAGCTCGCCCAGCCGGCGGAGGCGGTCTCTGGAAAGACTGCTGGATCAGAGGCGATCTCCAGACAGGCGGAGAGGGAGCTCTCCCGAAAGGAGGGCGAAGTCCACCGACCGCAGGCGAGCACGGTCCCCTGAGCGGAGGCGAGAGCGGTCTCTAGAGAAAAGGAACCGCGAGGACAAAGTCAGCCACCGGGAAAGGGACGAGCCCAGTCTGAAACAGGATGCCGGCAGAAGTTCCAGGCATGCCCCTGAGCAGAGAAGGCGACCTTACAAAGAATGTAGCACCGACCTCAGTATCTGAGACGGAATTGCATTCCAACCTTTACCGTGTCAAAGGTTCTTAGAGGAAAGTCACAAACCTGAAATAATTTCGTTTCTTACCTAATGAAGCATCTGACACCTGGTGATCCTATGAATAGCAACAAACGTTTATGCATTCAAAATCTTATAAGAAAAAAATATATATGAAAAGTGTTGTGCCTGATGTATATTAAAATATTTTTAAATGCATACTTTTTTGGAAGTTATTTGTTTTGCCAAATGTTGCCCCAAAGGGATATAAATTTTGTTTCTACATAATCTGTAGAATTGTCAAGAATCGTTCCCCCTTTTGGGCAATCTTTTACTCTCCTGGTTAAATGAGGCTATTGATCATTTTCTCTAAGGGAAATTAAGTTGATTTCATTTGACATAGACTATATGGAGTGATGTAGTGCTATACTATAGTTAGGAATTTTTCTTAACAAAGAGCAAACGGTGAAAGTTATATTTCTAAAAACTTAAGACTTGTGGGGTGGGGTGGGATTGCAGATAATCCTAAAGTTAAGGAACCTGTTCGATGAGACTACTATTGGGAATGAAGGATATTTATAGCTAAGCTACACAGCACAAAGAAAGACATTCTCTAGTTACTGACTCAGAAAATAATACGGATTCTCCCTGGCCATAGAAGACCAGAAAGTAAGTTGGCCACCATCACCTGCATGTAGCTCCAGCACAGGTAGCCAGGTTCATTAAGATCTCCCTGAGGCGGCAACATCACAGCTTTGCTCAACTACTAGAAGGATTTGGACAACTAACACCTTCTGTGTTGCCTGCTTTTGAGGCTGATAGTACATGGAAGGGGGACAGTGTGCCCCATGTGAGGGAGCCATGAGAAACCCCAATACTGACAGTGTGCCCCCCTTTTTAGCATAAGCCTGTGGTTGTCCTTTACCAAATTGGGGAAAGGGAACAAGTGATGGCAGAAGGAAACTCTCTGTTGTTATTTTTGAAAATGAGATGGGAGTGTTCTTTCTCAGACATGCAGATTTTCCTTTGATGCCCTGCTGCAAGGCCCCAGCATGGTGGGGCTGACAGGGTGGAAAAGGCTCACTCCAGTGGTTCTTGGCCTAGTTGGCAAACTTCTGCCTGTATGACCCTGTCCTTTTAGTCTTTGGACAGCAGGATAAAGCAATTATTTTTCTTTTAAAATGACCCATTCTTTGCCATCATCGTGCAAGAGGTGTGGTGGGTGGGCCATAGCCTTAGGGTGGTGGAAATGGATTACTGCCTCGCTGAGCCAAATGTTTGCTTGTACCTGTTGGACCACTACAGCAAACTGCTGCTTACAGTGCATTGCGTATTTCTGTAGTACTGTTTTGCATTTTCCATACATACACAAAACTTTACAAGTCAATCACTGTTGTTTTAGGGTACTGTTTAAAAAAAGTAAAAAGAAAACAATGGAGAAAACCAGCCAATTATTGTGTGTACAGTTTAAAATTGTAATTAATAGAGCCTGTTTAAAAAAAAAAAACAACTGTTGCCTTTTTCTTGTATAAAAGAGAATTTATGACAAAAAATTTAGCTGTGAGGAATGTGATATGTGTTTATATTTCTGAATATGGAATAAATTGATTCATCGGGATATATTTTAATGTAAACTAAATCAGGTATGTAAAGCTGTTTTAAATGGGGAAACTATATAAGTAATTCCTAAAGCTTTAGTTGGGTTGAATATCATTTCCTCCATGGTGAGCCTGCTCTTGTGAATTATTAAGCACCTGTTTGCTTTCTTTGTTCTTCACTCATTTCTTGCAGTGTGCTATGGACTTAATGCTCTCTCTATTGATGAAAAGCGATATGTGGGCCAATTTTTTTATAAAACACTATGCATATATAAATATTACATTGTTCATAGCTTTATTTGATTTATGGGTTTATATATAACATTAGAATGAGTAGCTGTAGTTGTGTGGACACTCAAGAAACAAGTTCCTTTCCTGGAACAAACGCAAAATACATTCTATCACTAAAAAGGAGAGAAACATCTGTGACTCCTATTTTTATAATGCAAGTTTTCCATACAAAGCATATATTGAACTGTAGTATGAAGGCTGAGAGAGAATACAATTGAATAATGATGCTCTTTTTCATTAATTTCTTATGAACCAACTTGGAATTTTATTCCTAACGTTCCAGGCTAGGAATTTTCTTGGAATTTCTAGCCAAATCGGTGATGTTAAATGATCGATGCTCTCAAATGTGATCCAGAGTTTTAAATAAATCAAGGTGGATTTTTGGAGTACATCCTTGAAGTTAACATCTTGATGTCTTTCTTGTTGTCAGAGATGGTATCTGACATTTTTAAATCAATGTGCTACCCACCTGGGCTTGTCTCAGTTTGTGATGACTTGGACTGTGGCAGTTTAATCTGAGTTTCACACATACCATTTATCTTGCAAATATTGTACTGTAAAGGGACTATGCATTAAGCAGAAAGATAGAGTTTTCTCTAAACTACTGTAACCTTACATTGGAGACTGATTCTTGTGAGCCAACTTTCCCTAGTCCCTCACTTCATGTAAATGTCTTGATGAGAGATGATGGATGAGTATTTTGTACGATTAAATCAAACCCTTTAGGAATTCCCCTCCCACCCAATACAAGTTTGATGCCTGAAAGAATGTTGAGCGAAAAACTCAACACCCTACTTGTATTTTTTTTAAGTTTCTTTTGTGAAAGGTTTTTAAATGCATTTTTACTGTAAAAATACATGGAAATGTATGCATTCCATAACCACTATTGCTTCTGGATTGATATCTTTCTTGTCTGTGTTGTTTCAAGTGGATCAGTGACAAGTATTCAAATGAGAGTATCTGACTCCCAAGTGGATAAAATTACCTAGTCATTCTGTTGAAGGAGAAGAACTGTTGTTTTGCTGTAGTTTAGTGCCTTAGAGTTCATTGCTGGAGGAGCTGTCTCATCACCACTGGGGGAGTGTTAGAAATGCAGACTCTAAGACTCCCCATAATCTACTGATTTACATTATGCATTTAAAAAGATCCTCAGCTAATTTCCACTTGAAAGTTTGAGCAATTCAGTATTACATGGAACTCTTGATAAAGCAAAACTTACAAGGGCAAGTGCTTCATGGATCCATAGTTGTGTGACCTTAAACAGTACTTCCTCTAAGCCACAGTTCCCTCATCTTTAAAAGGGGATACCCCTCACTAGCCAGTAAGAATAAATGCAAAGCCTTAGCAAACCTTTAACAATCAGAAAAATTCTCAATAACTCACACTAAATTTCTTTTGAGAATTTTCTGCATGTCAGTGAGTACTCTTTTCTTACCCCAATCAAAATGAAGTAAATATATTGTCCATTAAAATGGAAGGAAAACATTTTAATTATAGAATCAACAAATGGTGTGGCTCATGCTACTCACAAATGTTGATACATTTAGCATTCAATTTTTTTTTATATGGTTTTGTGTTTTATGCCCCACAAGACAGCAAATCATATTAGGGTTAACAAAAATATCTTAATTTTTTGTGTCCTATATACAGCCATGTTTGATCTGTTTGAACATGTAATTGTAGGGGGTGCTGGCGGTTTAGGGGAAAGGAGGAAGGAAGTCTATGAAGAACTCAATGGAAAGTCTTGGTCAAATCTGAACTCTTCAGGAAATGTTTTTCCATGTTTTGAAAAATGAAATCAAACTGCTGTGCTGTGAAGGTTAAAACAACTTTAGTGTGAGAACATAACTTAGAGAAAGATGTAGGTGGAGTTATAGATACCCCTAGTCATACTAGATGAAAAGGTTAACCAATTAGTGATTTAATATATGTCCTGTTTGATCATGTACTTTTACGTGACTTTCCAATTTCTTTCATGCTGTTTTTGTATTGTTCCCATAATATGACATAGTAGTTATGGTTTTCCCAAAGAATCTAAGCTCCCAGGCTTTGAAAAGGGTATTGTGTTTAATAGTAGGTCTTCCTACAATCCCTCTCTTTTGCTGTCTTTTGCTTTATTTTGTCACCAAAGTGGTAATTATGGACACTGCTCTCTTCCCTAGTATCTCTTTTGTTAAAGACAGCATCTAGAAATGGTCCCTGGCTTAACTGACAATTGAAGCTATTTGTAAAACTCTTAGGTCACACAAGTTCTTTGCCTGCCATAAATAGCCACAGCAAAAAGAATGTGCTGAGACTCAGATAAAGCTGTCAGAATTGTTCCTGCTCTTGGACCATCTGAGACCACCTTTGATGGTCTGCATTCATCGTGAAAGGTAGATCCCTTTCAAGTTCCTGCAGGTGATTTTTCTTATAATCAGACAACACCATCAGCATTGTGGGTACTCAGCACAATAAGACCCTAGTGCTTTGGGAATACATGTCATTACAAGCTTCTAAGAAGGGAAATGACAAAGCTGGACCTTTTCTAACAGTTATTTGTAGTAGTTTCTGCAAAAATAGGCCCCATATGAAAAATATTTAATAGTTCTTCCCGGTGATGCACCTTCTACAATGTGTTTAGGAGAGGCATAGGGAGCTTGAAGGCTTGGCTTCTCTAGTGCAAGCATTAGAGGCTCATGATCCAAAGTACAAGGTCTTTGTGAAGGTAGGCAGATAGAAGCAGGGTGATATTAATAGCAAATATTTACATACTGCTGTGACTTCTACACTCTAAATCATCACACTGCCACTTTTTTTTTTTTAAGACTTTTACATCCAAGAACTGGGGTGCAAATGGTGAGAGGATCTACCAGAGACAGATTGGGGAGCAGAACAGGCAGATTTACTGAAATACACTGTTGAGGGGAGCAGCAGGTGAGACTGGAGAGGTTTTTTTGTGCCATGTGGTCCACTCCCTGGCTGCGGATTGAACAGTCCTGCAGTGGCTGGCAATTGTGCCAGGTTTCGAGTTTCCCAAAGACCACCAAGGAGCCGATTCCGATGTAAAGCACACAGGGTCTATATTGCAAGCTAGAGCCTGGGCTCCCAACCTACACCAAGAACCCTGAGCTCAGGGAAGGCAGGGTTTTTACTACAGAAGAGGGGAGTTTCAGCTCAGCAGAGGGGAGTTTTAGCTCAGCAGCACATTGATTGGTGGGCATTGAACAAAGTTATCTTGTCTTAACCAGGTTGGTCTATGCATGTAAAATGTGACCTTCACTACTCGGCCCGCATACCTTAGGACATCAGGCGTTTCCTGATATGTACTGGTTACTTGCCTACTTGCTAATTGGCTGTTGCTAAGGGATGAGCAAGATTAGGACATTTACAGTTAAACTTGGCCTTGGCGCCTTGTTGATAACTAAAACTTAGGCCTGGCTGGTTCTGAAGCCTGTCATGGCGTCAGTTTGGTCTTTCAGCAATAGTTTGATAGATAGCTCTTTTTTTTTTTTTTAAGATTTATTTATTTATGCATAGAGAACTGGGTACAGGCGTGGTGCAGAGGTGCAGGGGTGGTAAGAGAATTCACTAGAGACAAAGAAGAGAGCAGAACAGGTCGACTCACTAAGTACATACTAAGGGGAACAGAGGGCCAGACAGGAGAGGTCTTCTACATCATTTTTAACCTCTGTGCCACCAGGGAGGCCCTACATTGCCTCTCTTGAAATAACATCTTGGTCTCCACAGTCTGGATGTCTAAACAGCAATAAGCACGGCCTATAGTACATTTACCCTCTGGGAATTTCAAAAAGAAAAGGAGTTAACAGGGAACCTGAGGACAGTACTTTGTGAGACAAGGGCCCAGGTGTGAAGGAATAAGGGCTAGAATGGAAGGGGTTACACCACGAAGAGCCAGCTGGAGGCCCTTGACAGCTGGTCAGGTTTCCCCTGGGGGCACTTTGTGTGCTGGGAGAGGGGTGGCAACCAGCTCAGCTGAGCTATTGAGAACAATGGCCTGTGAGCCCCAGGAAGAACAGGTTGGAGGAGGGTAGGGTGTGTCCTATGAGGTACTAATTTGAGCTCAGGCTGCAAACATTATCTTACAGAAACATCCTAGATAAAGTGGTATTTCTGGGAGCTGAATTTATGCCAGTCCCAAATTTACCATACTCTCATTAAATAGTTCCTTTTCATCTCAACCTAAATCCTACCTCTCCTTCACTAGGCCCTTGTTAATACAGACAGAACACCTGTTAGTGATTTCTTGTGTTTGATAATGTCAGTCATTGCTATCCTGGTTTTTCCCAGGTTTACAGAAACCCACTTTCACTATCTTCTCCCCCCCCCCCGTGCCCCCCCATCTTGGTTTCAAAACCCTTGCTTTTACTTTTTAAAAATAAAGCACAGTTTTCTCGAACTATAGAAGCCTGAGTAAGGATTATCTTTGTCAAATATGACCCATGCTTGAGTGTTGAGAGGAAATATCCCAGTGATAGCTTATGTTGAAAAATGGGCTTTTTCTTAATGTAGACAACTATTTCATAACTTCAATATTCAGTATGTCAGAATAGCAGGTAAAAGGTGAAATTATTCCTGGCCGCTGTCCATCCCAATTCACCGAACTAACCATTACTATCAGCTTGATTTGTAACTTTTTTGAACTTCCCAATTTATATATAAATGTGTATAGGTATAATATAGGGTTTTGTGCAAAAAGCTGGACCATCAAATACATAGTATTTTGTGTCCTGTTAACTTTATTTATTGTGGACAATTTTCCATTTAAATTTTCCATTATATATACATAGATATCTATAGCATATATCTCATCTATTCTCATTCTCTCTGTGTGTTTTCTCCCCTCTCTCCTGGATTACTTTGTTAGCTTTCTTTGTGTTCTCCCTGCCTTCCCCACCTACACACCCTTCTCCACAGCATCCAGGACTTTTCTTTGACAAGGTCAAGTGAAAGGTCAAGCTTAGGCTCCGTCGCCCTGTGTGATCCAGCCTCTCCTCTCTGCTCCTCACCACATCTACTTCAGCTTCACTCAGGGCCTTTGCTCTGGCTAGATTCTCCCCTACACTTCTCCCACCCCCCAGATCTGGAAAGGTCTTTTCTTAGATTTTACACTGACTTGATTCCAACTTTGTGTAAATCTCATTCATCCAATGAGGGCCACCCTGACCATCCTATTGAAAATTGCTACTGAATTTCTCTTCTTGAGTCTACTTTTCTCCCTTTCACAGCACTTAGCACTTTGTGACATGCTGTGTAATTTATGCAATTATCTAATAGGTCATCTGTGTTGTTTATCATCTACATCCCTCTAGAATCAGGTCTGGCTTTAGGGGCAGGCAACCAGTGCAGTCATATAAGGCCCTGTACTTGGTACATATTGGTACATATAGTCCTGGGCTTGGTTAATGCTCATTGTCAACATGATGGAATGTTACTAATTTTCAAATGGAGAGTTTTGCACCATTTGCACTAGCCCCCCCCCCCCCCGATTATTTAATGGACCTTGTCTTGAATGTAAACATCACAAGGCAAAAGTCATCATTCTGAACACTGATGAATACCAAGTTCTTGAAACAATAACATATTTGTAGCATTTGCACATAGTAACTACTCAATAAGTATAAAAATTCCACTCTTAGTAGTTTCTTACTGTGAAGATACACCCATACGGATTACAATATGGGCAATCCCATATTGGAATTACACATGTAATCCCATATGGAGTACAAATGTATGTTGCAATAAATAATCTTATACATAAAACTTGGTGCTCTTGAATAGTTTGGTTAAAATCTTTCTGAAGGTATACATTGGACTCTTAGTCCTTTTTTATTTCTAGTGACACTGATGTTACTGAGA